CATGACCATCTTTAGAATATCATATATTTTAAATTAGGCATGAGATAGAATCAAATCTTATTTTAATTTTAAAAGACAAAACATGTTTATCTTAAGAGATTATTATAACAAACTTAGGAGATTATATCCTAATTACTAGCCAATCACAAAATTTTAAATCAATTATTTTCAAAATTAATTATGGGATAATCACATTATTTAAATCAATTATTATCCTTTTGGAATATGCTCAAAATATCCTAACAAATCCTGTCAAAAATTTAACAACTTTAATTGTGGATAATTATCAAAATAACAACTTTTGAAAATTTGATATTATCTTTCAAAATAAAATCTGATTTTTAATTTTGAAATTCAAATAACTTTTTTTTTCGAAAAATCGTACTGCAGGTTGCTGGCCACAGTGATTGGCTAGCCGAAGCTAGCCACGGTGGTTAGCCGCTTTTCAGCAGCCGCTGCCACAAGGCAGCAGCAAGCAACAGTAGTGGTAGCCACAGCAACAGCGTGCAACCCTTGCACTGTTGCTGCCTAGCCACTCCAGACCACTAGCCCTCCCTTCCCCTCCCTCTTGGACCAGCAGCGGCCGCTGCCGCCCCCAAATCGAACCACAATTTTTTTTAATTCTTAATTTAATTAAAACAACACTTGTTTAAATTAAATTAAAATAGTCCTAAATTGAAATCAAATCCCAATTCAATTTTAAAATTAGGGTTCTTCATGAATTTAATCCCAAATTAATTCAACACTTAAAATACTTTATTGATCATGTAAAATTCATAATTTATACATCAAATCAATGCTATTAAATTCATGAAACATACTTAAATCGAAATCGAAAAAAAACAAGCACATAAAATTAAATTTTTAAGGCTTATTAGGTTCGAAAATTTTCGAAAATATCAGGGTTAGGGTTGAAAACTTCAAATGCAATAGGGAAAAAAATTTGTCCTCTTTATGGTATTTTGAGCAAATTAAATCACATTTAATCAATTCTAAGAGTTAAATCACATTTAATATAATAATTGAATCATAATTAAATTATTCTCCCTTTTAATTGAATTAAAATTTGTGGACATCAAAGAATTATGATCAATATGCGTAAATATAAGAGGCTAACTGATACCACTGTAGGGAAATAGGTACTTTAAGCGGAACTGCATGCATGAATCATATTCATAAGCACCTAAACAGAATGTATGCACAGCACATAAAGAAACACATAATTATACCTTTGAAGCGTGATTCCACAAGCGATCGACCACGAACGATTAGGAGAATAAGAGCCCCAAGTGTTGCTCCTATACTTGGTCGACGGGCTAGAATTGAACCTCCACTAATTCTAGTTGGTTGAGAATGAACGCTTCGATCTACCTTCTACGGAGAGGAGAGGAAATGAAAAAGCCATGAACCACCAGCACCGTGCAACCACCTTTGCACAATGGTCCGTACTGTACGGACTAGGGGAGAAAGAGAGAGAGGCGTGTAAGAGAGGGTAAGAGACAATTTGGTTGCTTGCTTCACACTTTACTACTTAAGTTAATTATGACCTGTATGCTTAACCTAGGCAAGGCCTCTATTTATGTATCTTATGTATAATTGGAGCCCATGTGAAGCCCAAACTCCTAATCCAACCCAAACTATTCTAGGCTTACTTCTTATGTGGCTTGTCATTACCTCATGAGGCCCATTAATGGGCTTCATGCATTGTTCAATCCATGACCCTTATATGTGACCTTAGCTTATAGAATCCATTCTATTGGGCTTTGAACTATTTGACTAGCCAAAAGTTTCATATCTAGCAACTGACAATGACGACCCATAAGAATGAACCAATTATCTCCATAATATTGGTCCATGATATATCTAGTAATTTCACTTGACGAAGACATAAATCCTTTAAGAATTTCTTGAGAAAACGGAGGCGGCTTGTCACCAAGATTTAACAAGCGCATTTTCCAATCAATAGGCTGTGGTTGGGTGGTCGGTCGGTCCAGCCAGGTAAGCTGCCTGGTCGTACGGCTTGCCATACTGCCCGTACTTCCCATATATAGGGGGAGTAGGCGGTAGAATTGCACCATAGTTATGTGGCGTTTGAAAGTGAAGGGTTTGAGTTAAAAGAATTGGAGTTGGAGTACGGTGAGCTTGACTCCTGCTGGTCCTGGCCGAGCTGGTATGCTTGGACTGGTCCTGGCCGAGCTGATATGCTTGGAGAGAGTGTGGTTAGAGAATTCATCAAGCATGGTGGGAGTGGAGGCAGCGTCCGAGTAGTAGGACTGTGCTCTCTCTTGCCGCTTGTGCCGGAGATAGTCTCTAGCATCCTTTCAGCGCTAGGACGGCTCATTTGGCTGCCTTAGAGGCTTCTTGGTATGCCCCCCAGCCGACTATGTTTTCCCAAGTAGCCTGGACCAGTTCATCCGAGGCACCCTTGGGGGACCTCTAATGTCTTCTAAACGGGGTATTGTTGGTCGTCTTGTTTTGGGGTTTTTTCCTGATGCCCTCTTCTTCTCTTCTGGACGGTTGTCTAGAAGAAGAAGGTATCTTACCCTCAAGCTCTTTTCGAAGCTTATTCAAGGCGGCCTGCAAGGAGCCGGCCGTTACTAGGGGGTCCTCGGCCTCATGGAATGAGGCAGTTAGAGGATCAGTGGTGTTGATTGTAGCGACTATGTTCTCTACATAGCCGTCCTTAACAAAACCGGGCGTTTGACCATCTTTAGCCATTTCAGACGTGTATCCCCACAGACGGCACCAATTGTTTCGAGATTTTTTGGAATCCCTCGAGATACAGGTCTTGAATATAGTCGGACAGTCGCAAACACTTGCAAAACAACGAATATTCCGTTTGACGGAATATTCGCCTCCGACGATCAAGTTAATGATCGGAAAACGAAATAATTTAGAGAGCGAAAGTATAGAGAAGTTGGAGCAAATTGCTTATGCAATAAATGAGATGTCTCTATCCACCCCTCCCATCATAAATGATTGGGGTATTTATAGGGGTGGGAGTGTGTGTCATCTAGGGTTTGGTAACCTAGAATGGTGTGCTCTGATTGGCGGCGCAATCAGGTAAGGACAAGTGTCCTTTAGGGGCGTCGTTTTAGCGCCTTTCTCGGGATTTGAGCCTCCTGATGTAAGGAGGCCTTTCTCTCATTCAGGTGCTCTCTTGTTTTCCACATGTCATCTTCCTATGGGGACACGTGTCGCCCTATATTGGGCCACGTGTCTCTATAGGATTGGACCACGTGTCAGGGGTATTTTTACCCTAAACAAGTACCAAACTAATTTTATTTACACCACTGTTCTTGAGGAATTAAATGACCTAGATTTTCATGTTGTTGTGTACAATTTTGTGTCCTTTGTTGATATCATTTCAAATCATCGTGATGATAAATATTTATTGAACACATAATATATCACATGAATATGTTTTTTATAAAGTTTTTTTTACTTTCAATGATTATGTTTTGTATGTAACTTTTCTAATAAACGAATAATGCAAATAGAATTGTAAAACCGTGCATGACACGGGTTTTGAACTAGTTTACACTATATTACGTTGCATACAAATTAAGAAAATACACCATATTAATTCCATGAAAACCTATAAATATTGCATGTGTCAATTTTATTCAGATACTAGGTTAGGTCCCGTGCCATGCACGGTAATTTTAAATAATAATTCTTATATCAAAACTACATTTAATTATATAAAAAAAACTTTGTCTAATATACTATAATGAATTTATTATGAAAGAGGTTGTTTGCCTAATAGGTATTTTAATATACACATTTGACAATATCTATATATTTTTATATATTTCACCAAAAAATTGGTATCATTTTTTTTTTTCTTATACCAAAGGAATTTCTTAAAACTATATACTACGTATTTAACCCGTAAATAGATTTCTATTTTAATTTTATTTTAGAAAGTAAATTGGTGTTGTAATAAACATAGTATATTACACTCAGTAGGTCACGTGTTAAGAATCCGATTTTTTTTTTCTTAAATTTATACTCCGTAGTTGTTAATATTTTTTGTGGAAGGTTATATCAAATCTTTTATTTTAAGTAATTAATATTCTAATTACTTTCTTGAAGCTTCTAATGCACTGTATTATTTTATAAATATATTCAAAAACAATATATGTAATTATTGAAGTACATGACACTATATTTGGCAAAAATTATGTTGAAGTTTGAAATTTTTTTTTTTTTAATCAAGTTTATGTAGATGTCAAGGATACATCAAATCTTTTATTTATACATAAGTTTGTTGGTGTGTAGATGTCAAGGATACATCAAATCTTTTTAATTAAGATGTCAAGGATACATCAAATCTTTTTAATTAATTGATTGATGTGTAGATGTCAAGGATACATCAAATCTTTTTAATTAATTAGGTTTGTTGGTGTGTAGGTGTCAAGGATACATCAAATCTTTTTAATTAAGTTTATGTAGATGTCAAGGATACATCAAATCTTTTATTTATACATCAAATTTTTTTTCACCAACAAATGTGTCATTGTTGGTGTGTCTTTTAGTATATAGTTATTGATTGATTGATGTTAGAATAACATGATTCAATAAAAAAAATGGAATTTCCTTGTTGTTAACAAGGATGTTAAAAAAGAGGAAATTTAAAGATTAAAATCTAAGATGAAATGCATAACTCCAGGTTGTAATTGTGCGCTCTTGTTAGCAAGAGGATGCTGAAAGAGAGGAGAAAGAAAATGGTGTTAAAACATTCTCATAGATCAATCCGGCCCGAATTAATGGGGTGAATACTTCAAAATTGGAGAGAACACTAGGGCAAGGAAATGTCCACCCTTAAAATGTATGTAGTGGTGATTGGCCTAGCCCCAACACCAAATTTAAAAGGTGATTTCCTTACCACTGAACCAACACTTGATAATTAACATTAGATGCTTAAAATATTCAACATTTGTATGAGGATTCTTTTGAGATAGTTGCAAGTATTTTAGATTGAAGAGAAAATGAGATAGTAAGACAGAAATAAGAAAATATATAACTGATTACATTCTAGTTTTTAGGTTTTTTTACCCAAACTGGCCTGGACTGAAAACCCAGAATCTTGTATTTTCATGGATCGTGAATCGAAGTTGAATTCACTGGACTCATACAACCCAGTTCAAGTCCATATTCATGTCTAGATTAATGTGTGCACAACTGCACACCCTAACACCCATGAGTGGCAATGATCCTACAAGACATTATAATTTGAGCTTGTAATATGACTACTTTAATTTATTAATGACCATAGTTGTATAGGATCCATAATTTATGTGTACATATCTTTCATAACTCTGTAATTACCAACCAATTACTCACAACCTTCAAGCCGGTGTAAAATCACATGAGCACCGTGTTGGACTGCAAAATCATGGACAGCGCCATTTTAGCTTCTGCAATTGCAAAGTTTTGCCCGATACAGATTCGTGGGCCCCAGCCAAAGGGAAAGAAGGATATATTCCCTTTGGTTGCCTTCGCAATCCCTTCTGAAAACCTTTCTGGTTTAAATTCATTCGCATCATCTCCCCAAAGTCTGGGATCACGATGCGTGTTGATTATTGAAAGACTAATCATAGCACCACAAGGGACCAATATGTTTCCAAGTTTCATGTCACCTTGATATATCCTACGAGATGTTGAAGTCACAGGAGGGTACAATCTCAGCACCTCATATAGTATCATAGTCACCTATAACAAAAACAAATACAATTAACTTGCAGGAAAAAAAAATTAATAAATAAATTACTAATGCATCTCTTTAGTTTAGAAAAACTGATAAATGTTCCTGAAATTAGCTCATCTTTTCTTTGGGAAGAGAATCAAGTTTAATTGGCGGAGGATCAAGTTTTGATCAAGTTGTTTCATTCAAACACAAGTGACTATACTATTTGAGAAAATACCGCCAAAGGTTGAGATAATTAAAAATTAAAAATAGGTTAAAAAAATCAGAATATTCCATATATCTTTTTTTTTCAGGTCCAAATATTTGAAGTTTTCAACCCCTTAGAGAAATTTTACTGAGATAAAGTTATAAGAACATACAATCTTTAAATGGTTTAACCCGTCAAAGTCTGGTTGATTCTTTCCAAATGTTGCCTGCACTTCTTCTCTTGCTCGTGTTTGCCAGTCTTGATGCTTGCTCAACAAAATCATTGTCCATACCAACAAGATCGAGGTGGAGTCATGGCCAGCAAAGTAGAAGAGTTTGCACTCATCAATCATATCCCGAAGACTCATTGCTTGCTGTTGCTTGTGACTTCCAAGACTTTGATCAGTTTGAGATGCTTTTAAGTTGGAGTCCATCAAAATTCCCAATAAGTCATCCTTAGGAGTTTCACCTGCCTCCATTGCCTTCTTACTCTTGTCGATTATTCCCATCAATACATTTTGTATATCAAAGTTTATTTGTTTCATCTTCCTGTTAGTCTTTGTCGGCACATACCTAAGATGGGTATGATTTGTAATGCAATGCACAAATATGCAAAAAATTCCAAGTGCAATAAAGCTTAATCTTAACTTACCTCCATCCAGGGATATAAACTGACTGAAAAAGGCGTATAGTAATTTGTGTCTGTTCCTTTAAAAGTTCAAATATCCTTTTTCCTTCCTTATAGCTACTCCCAAATGCAGCTCGAGATATAACATCTGCAGATAGGCTGTTAACGAATGGCCACACATCTACCTCAGAGGATCCTGTTTCAGATACTAACTTCTCCCATTCATTGACCATTTCAATAACACTGTCTCCAAACGCTGGAAGCATAAGCTACATAAAAAAAATGAAACTAACTTGCTGTGAGTTGTTACGAATACTATCAAAATCATAGTATGTTGTGTTTTACTGTTTTCAGAAGTCGTTATGCTGAATTGTATACTATTAATGGTCAATTATATACCTTAAGCTTTTCCATATGAAAAGCCGGGTTGATCAGCTTCCTGTGTTTTGCCCATTTCTCACCCTCATAGCCTACTAGTCCAGTAATAAGCAACCGAATAAGTGGGTTCAATTTTGCCTTTTGAAACTCGTTCATCCTATTGAAGGCATCCCTTATAAGCGCAGGTTCTGCAATATTTATAACTGGTATAGGCCCTAGCCATGTCCAAGAATTTTCACCTGCATTTATCCCCATTTAAGTCGAATATAACAAGATTTCCAACATCTACCATAAAATTCTTACTTTGAGGAACGTCAGGACATAACTGATAGTCCTCATACTTAGAAAAGATGCATACAAACTAAGATAATTGGATTATATATGACAGGCTGCTACGACACATATATGCTGAGACATCTTCTGTTGCTGATGATGGCTGTAAGATGGTGCCAGTCTTTCCTGTGCCAGAGGATTTAGCTAGTTATTTTAAGCGTGCAAAGTTTGTTCATAAGAAATATATGTCCAAGAATTATTTGTATAAAGAATTATTTGTATAAACCAATTGGAAGTTTTACAAATAAACCCCGTGCGATGCACGGTTTGTTTTTATTTTTTTAAAACAAAAAATTTTTTATTTTTTTTTCGTATATAAGTGATAAATTTGTTATTTTATACGTAATATGTTACATATCATCTAATATTTTTATTTTAAAATAAATTGTGAATTTCTTCTCTTTCGCTCTATATTAAGATAAAATTCCTAATATAAATAGATAATATTTATATTTAATTAATTCAAACTTTAAAATCTCATTTGCCAATTATTTTTTGTAGTTTTGTTTGTAAATAGATATCTATGTTATTATTAAAGAATTTTTACGAAACTAAAATTATTTATCTGATTAAAACTTATTTTTACTCATTGTCTATTTATTTTTAAAGAAATTCAACATATTAAAAATGGATTTTATTTTAAAGAACTTTATAAAACGAATTTATGATGGAAATAAATTCGAGTTATAGGATATTTATTACTACCTCCGTTTTTTTAGTTGACACGTTTTGATTTTAGCACTATTCACACACTGTCCTTTGACCATGTTTTGTGCTTTATATATAATGAAAAATATAGTCATATGGGATATTATTAGATTCGTCACGATATATATTTTCAAAATATCAACTTTTCATAATTTTTGCTTATCGGTAATTAAAGATATTAATAGTTGAATTTGTTCATTGGCAAACATGAGTAAAGAAATGTATCAACCGAAAGAAATGAAGGAATTAAAATTTATGATTAATTTTGTAGGTATGAACTATTAGAAATATATCGATAATAAAACTCTATACAATATGTTTATCTTAAAAACCTATCCAAAATTTGTTTACTTAACATCATATATCACAATAATACCTATTTGTCAAGTGTCGTTTAGTAACCGGACTTATATCCGGCTTTAATTATTTAATATTAGTGATATCATATTATATTAGATTGCTGCATTATCAACAACTGCTACATTATCAATAATTGCTACATTATTGATAATTGATATAATTGCTACGTTATCGAAAATTGCGCTACGCCAAGAGCAATTATTGAATATGTTTTGGAAAAATTAGAGCAATTTAGTAGTTCATACTTTCAGTCAATTTTTTAAGTCAATTATTGTAACTACTTTTCCGTGACAAATTCCAATACTCTATAGTGGTACTCTTCTTTTACTAAAACGCCAAATCGTAGACAAGATTTTATTTCAAGTTTACGTACCACGTTAATAACATATATTAGGTAATAGGTATCGATTCGAATGATCTCATCAGGTCTGATGAGGAGGTCAGATCGGATCGATTTTTAAAATTTAGTCATGCTAAATTATTATGTCCACACGAGTTCAAATCTGAATCAAATATATTTTAAATCGGTTCGGATCAAGAGGACACCTCTACTACTAATAAATATATAACCAATTAAACTAGTTAACATCCCCTAACAACCAGTTTAAAAATGAACAAAAAAAAAAAGCAAAAAAAACAACCACTATTTTATAATTCACAAATCAATAGCACTTATTAAATAAAAAGGCAAATAAAATAATTGATTAAGCGACAAAATGGGTACCTAAAAAAATAATGAATAATTGCTCTGTTTCTTCAAAAAAAAAATTAAATAAAATAAAATAAATTAAATTATTTCTGGAATTGGAATAGACTAAAAAAAACAAAACTAACCATGTTTTTTGATATGTTGTTGAAGAAATGGCAAAACACGATCAACATAATCATGAGTAAAAGGAATAGGTTTTTCTCTTGCTTCTTGACGCATTCTGAAGGTTTCTTTAATATCACCATACAAAAATTTGTATGAATTTCCTTTCAAACCCTGTTTTCTGAGACACTTTTCCATCTTTTTTGGATTAAACCATACCCAATTTAATGTTTTCCAAACCCATGTCAGAATTAGAATACAAAAAATTGCTATAAAAATATACCCAATTTTCATTTTTGATGGATTTTTGTATTGAAATTCTAAGGGAAATGGAGTAGATTGTAGAGGTTTAACATAAAGTGGAGGTGGAGGATAGAATGGTGGTAAACGTGTTAATAAATATCTTGAGCTTGAATTGCTTTTTGTAAGGCAATTTTAGCCTTTTTTTTTTTTTTTTTTTTTATTAAAGGAGATAGAGTGGGGTGATTTCATTAAAAAATAATAGTCATTTGGCACTTACAATCATACCTTAAAACATAAAAATTCTCAATACAAGTAATAAACACCTCTAATTAATGGCATCGCTTCTGAACTGCTCTTGAATAATTTTATGTCTTTGCATCGTTCTATACGGAGCTCCATTGATGTATAGTCGCGAAAATGATAAAACTTGATTGGTCATCAAGATCGGCAAATTTGCAAGACGAATCTTCTAAATCTGCACCCCTAAACCAATAGACCAGCAATTCCACAAATTTGCAAGACGAATCTTCCAAACTTGTATCCCTGCACAAACGAAAAACAAATAAACGAACAATACTAAAAATTCCACTACAAGGAACTGACTAAACCTTACATGGAGGGACTGACTATAATCACCATACTGTTGGTGATCTTTATTGGCTAAAAACATTAAATTAAAGAAGAATTTTGGGCTTACCATCGATAAAATCGATTGCAGCCCCTAAGTTTTATTGTGGTGGCTAGGTTTGAAGAGAGAGCAGAGAATTTTTTGGAATTGATAACTTGATGGAAAAAAAAAAGGTAGCCTTATTTTAATATACAAGGCTAGATAACCACGACATTAATATTAAAATATTTTTAATTATGCAAAATGTAAGTTAAGTGGTGGAGGTAGAGGTCTCTACTGGTTCAATGGGAGGGTATATACCATGAGAGGCGATTAAGATAATAATTGATAATTAAGTTTAGATAAAATAAGTAAAGATTTAATAAATTCGATTTAATTAGTATAAGATAAAATTATATATTTGAATTGCAAGTGAAGAGTACACTCTAGCAATCACATTTCACCCAAGTGAGTACACTCTAGCAATCACATTTCACCTTAATCACTAATTGGCTATTGGTACAGTGATGATTGAGATTACACTTAATAGAGAAGATTGTGTGTTCGATCCCGCACAACAACAATTGGGAGTGGACTGCAACCTAACCAGCTAGAACTGATTTTCGAATCCAAATTAACCCAAAGGATGAACAAAATGGAACACCAATAACATATATATATATATATATATATATATATATATATATATATATATATATATATATCACCTTAATCAACTTCTCTTTACCCTTTTAATCACTCAAATAGTCAAATCTCATTATCTCAAGCCTATATTAATTTCTAATCAGCTAAATCCACTACCTTAACTAAATAGATGATCAATAATATAATGTATACGGAATACTAACATAAAACTTTTTGCAGTGAGCCTAAATCTATACCTGCCAGCAAGCTTTTTGACTTAAATAACTAGAGTTTACCCATGCTCATGTACGGGATACACGCATGTAGTATGTATATTTAAGTGAAAAAAAAAAAAAAAGTAAGAAGAAGTGAAAGTTATTAAAGGGTGGTTATTGGTTATTTTTTTTAAATTGAGTAATATGGGTAGTTATGAGTAAAAAGGGTGGCTATTGGTTATTTAAATAAAGAAAAAATAAAATAAAAGGGATAGATTTTATTGAGTGATATGGGTAGTTATGAGTAAAAATGGTGGTTATTGGTTATTAAAAAAAAGGGGGAGGGGGGGGGGGGGCTAGAATCGCAAAGATGGGAATTTGGAGTGCTATGAATGAAAGTTGTAAAAACAACTCTTAGATTATACTACTGATATGTCTATTTTATATAGTGTTTTACCCCCATTTCTTGGTCATATTTAGGAGTATTTTTGGCACTATGGAGCCACTTTTATTACTAATATGCGTTTTCTAGTGTTTACGCAGTTTTGGTATTGTTTTATAGGAAATTGCACATTTGGAGCATTTTCCCGGACTTATTTGAGCCACTACGAGCGTTGGAGTAGGATCGCATTTATATGACCACATTCCGAAGCCCAAGGCCGAGTTGGAGCAATCAAACCAGTGATTTAGGGCTCGGTGAAGAAGAAGAGTTCGAGGCATTTGACCAAGTCATAAAGACCCGAAGAGGAAATGCGGATTGGGCCAAGAAAATAGCCCAATCGAAGTCCACATATGCTCGGAAGCTCGCCCGACCGGGTAAGCCCTCCGCTCGAAGGCACACCCAGTCGGGAGAGGAAGATAGGAAGGACGCACCTCCGCCCAGAGACACGCCCGACCAGGCGCAAGTTGAGGATCCCATCAGCTTGAGGCGGGCCCGGCCAGGCGAGATGGCGCCCGACCGAACGCGTGCTTTTGAGAAGCGTTTTTGCGACTTAAACTTTGTTATATTTTAGGATTTAGGAGCCTAAGTATAAATACACTTTGTTAAGCAAGATTTGCGGGGGCATCATCCATTAGTTAATTTCCAGATTCTTAGTTTTAAGCTTTTTATTAATACTCTTGTTCTTTCAACTCTTTTGGTTTATGCAATTCATTATTTCCGTTTATTTTGGTAACGATTTCTTCCCCTTTTATTCTCAGAAATTTAATTGCTTTGATTAATCATGTCTTGTTTAATTGCTTTGGTTAATTTAGATTTTAATATGTGTGAGTAGTTTTATTTCGAGGGTTTGTGGGGATCCATAAATAATATGAAGGGGTAATTTATTATTGTTGATTGTTAATGCTCGATTGATTTCTTATTGATTAATTTAATGCTATGCAATCAGATTTGGCCAGGTTTAATTGTATGAGTTATGCAATATTGATTCGAGATTCGAGAGATGAGAATTGATGTTTAGGCTTAGTTTTAATAGGCAGGCTATTTATAAATGGTTAAGTTAAGATTCGAGAGATGCGATTTAATACCGGTAGATTAATTCTGTGATTGTAATACGTAACGAAAGCCCTTTATGATCAGATAAATTGATGAATTGATGATTGATTATAGTGTTTTACCCTGGACTATTATTTATTGGTGAACCTATACCCTAAGCTTTGATTTATTGATTTCTCCTTAGTTTAGTTTGCTTTAGTTTATTTATTCTCCTTAGATTAATTCTCATAAAATCATATTTGTTACTTGATAATTTAGATTATAATAATGTATTAGAAATAAAAGAACATTGTTTCTATGTGGATTCGACCCTACTTCCCTATCTATTTTAGTTAGTGGTTTTAGGAATTAATTTTGATTAGGTGATACGACTTTAGCCTGTCAACTACCTCCATTTTTTACATTTGACACGTTTTGACTTTAGAACTATTCACACACTCCCTTTTGACCATGTTTTGTGCTTTATACATAATGAAAAATATAATCATGTGGGATCTTGTTAGATTCGTCATGATATATATTTTCAAAATATCAAGTTTTCATAATTTTTTCTTATCAGTAATAAAGATATTAATGGTTGAATTTGTGCATTGGCAAATGTGACTAGAGAAACAGATATTAATGGTTGAATTTGTGCATTGGCAAACGTGACTAGAGAAAAGTGTCAACTAAAAAGAAACGGAGGAAGTATTAAACTAGAGTGTATCCGTGCAAAACGCACGGGATATATATTTTACAAAAAGATATTAGAAAAAATCTAATAACAAAAATAATATTTCAAATATGGGAAGTTGATTTGATATAATAACTTTCTATTATATGTGGCTAGCTATTATGTGAGTTACTTTGTCAGTGTTATAGGGGTTGCTTGTTTAGTGTTATAGAGGTTACCGTTCAGTGTTATAAGAGTTACTCATTTAGTGTTATAGGAGTTACTTTGTTCTTTTGCTAGCAACCACATTGGCAGCTTTGTCGCACAAAAAACCTATGTGTATATATAATGTTTTTGTGTTGATGATTATTGAATTAATAATAAGATAGTTATTGGATGATTTGTAAAAATATTTGATAGTGTTATAGGGGTTACTTTGTTGTTTTGCAAGTTATGGCTAGTCGCATAGAAGACATGATGTTTTTTTTTATGATTATTGAATTAATTTTTTTTGAAAGCAATGATTATTGAATCAATAATAAGGTAGTTATTGAATGTTTTGTAAAAGAAAATTAAAAACAATTGGAAGAAAGAAAAATAGTGGAACTTATGGAAAAAAAATGAAGTGTACATAATTTAAAAATTGAGTTTTCAAGTTTTGTGATGAAAAGTTTGGAAAAAATGTGCAATTATAATACAGATTTATTTTAACATTGGGGTTTCTAAAAAAAATTCATTAAATAATATAATAAAATCAGTAGGTTTTTTTTTTTATATATTAAGTAAAATGGATAGTATGTGTTTTATTAGAAAAAGAATAAAAATAGTAGAAGTGAAATTTTTTTTTTTGGAAGTTAATTGGAGGGTTTTTTTTTTTTTAAAAAAAAAAGTTAGAGAGGTGGAAGTTATTTGAGGATAGTGAAAAAAAAAGGAAAAAAAAAGGAGTGCATGAGAATTGAGTGAGGATTTGGAGTGTTGTGGTGAAGTGTTGCAAAAAGTTTCTTAAATTATATATAAGACTAGTATGTGTCCGTGCTAATGCACGGGTTATAATTAATGATAGGATTTAAAAATTAAAAAAAAAATTATATTTATGTATAATAGTTGTACAAAACAGCCAAAAAGAAAAAAGAAAATTACAATTTCACTTTTTAAATTATCGATAGGTAGGAATCAAAATTATCAAAACCGGGATTCTACTTTGAATCGGAAGGGGCTCTCAGAAACGAATCGAATCGTAGAATAGTAAGATTCTACGGACATGCATAATAAAGACGCCATATCCAAATTAATTAAATATATTTAAATTATGCGTTTAAAACCTAATTATTAAAAGAAAGTAGTTGTTTACCCATTAAACAACCAATAATTTACACTTTATATTTATAAATAACTTTGTAGGCATGTTTTAAACTTGTAAGACTTTCGCCAGTTAAGAAAAACATGTAACATCGAGTAGAATCGTACATCGAATCGTATGACATACATGAATTGTATAATTTTAAGATTCTAAGATTTAAATCGGGATTTTTAAAACAACGGTAGAAATGTAGGAGATCACAATTATAATGTAATCGCAAAAGCAATGTATTCATTTTTACCTATTTTACCTTAACTGAATCTATATGTACTTATTAGAACTTGTATAAACATATTTTAGTTATAATTTGAACCTAGAGTAACCCTTACGTATCATTATTAGTTTTTAGTTATATAAGTTTTTATGAATTTTTTAGACTTGGAATAAGTGAGCATTTTTATTGAGTTACATTAATAGTCAGTCTTTAAAAAAATAATGATCGTGGTTGTCGCTATAAATAATGGGGAGGGTTTTTTTTTAAGAATTTTTAAGTTAATTAGATAAAATGTAGATAGAGTGATAAAGTTATTTAGAAACATAGCTATTATTATAGTACAGAAAATAAAATGCACATAGCTGAATACTAAAAAAAAATACTAAACCTCATAATATTACGACAGGAACATAGATAATAGTAGTTGGTCTAACTCATGATGAATAGTAAGTTATTTTAAAAACTGTATGCCCATAATGAACCACTATTGATAAAACATGATTTTTAGCATAATCAAAGTCTTAGCAAATCACCACTGGCCTTAGGGGTGTACATAAACAAGATCGGACCTGAAAACCGACCTGAACCGG